AAAAACAACACAGTCCATAAGCAAAATATTCATTGAAAGGATATTTTAAGTATAGCAGGTTTTTGTTTTTTTTTATCGAAAATAATTTTAGACAGAGAATAAAAATTATATATTACATGTGTATAATGAAACAAAAAACAAAAATGTTTACAATGGTTATCTTAATGTAAAAGTATAAAGGAGAAGAGCATTATGAAAAATCAGTGACGTTCACGTATTTTAATTCGAAATTACGATAATAATGTCTAATGATAATCGTACTATAAATGATTTCTTGAATTTAATATTAAAACTGTACTAGAGAAAAGAAAAATACAAATTCTTTCCGAAATAATTTTCATAAAAATTTTATCAATTCGAAACCTGTATATTTTGGAAATAAACTAAAAATAATTATTTTAAATACAACGCTGACAACACTGACAACAAATTTACTAATATTTGTAATTTATTATAGAAAATCGCATATGTAACATCACTTCCCTTGCGGCATTCGCTACTGTCTGATTCTTTTGTTTTTGCTAATATACTTATATTGAAAAAAAAAATTTCCTTTAGATTGGCTCAGGTGTATTTCATGATTTTATTATTTAATTTTTATGATATTTTTTTTTTTTCTTTTTTTTAGTTTGAAACAAGTTTTTATGTCTTCTTCCTTTACATAATAATATATAGGTAGTACAACATGTCCTTTTGTTATATCACTCACATCATATCAATTTTAACGTAAGTATTAATGTATACGTACTTTTCATATAAATATTGTTATACAATGAGAAAGAACCAAAAAAAAAAAAAAAAATTAGCCAAGAACTTGATCATATGGATCGTTTAATTTTTTTCAATGTATATTCTATAAGTATATATTTATATATACACATACATATGTCTATGTATATTAAAGAGATTAGAAACGGAGTTGCCTTATAAGTTTATTAAATAAAAAAAAAACAAAAAAAAAATATAATAACAACGCATATGTTTTGCCCTTTTGTATGCTACATATATAAAGAGGTCTACTATATCATCTTAACTTAATTCCTTAAGGAGATACAATGTCCCAGTATACAAATATACAAAGCATATATATGCATCTATATACATAGTGCATTAAAAAAAATTACAAAATTCTTTGAAAAATATAATATAAAAATGGTATACATATATGGTAGCAAAGAGAAAAAAAAAAAAACAAAAAAAAAATAACAGAATAGAAAATGAAAATTCTGAATTGAGAATTTTGAGTATAAACAGCAGCTACACTAACAACAACATCTACTACAAGGAATTATAATAAGAGCAAGAAGAAGGGGACAAAAAAAAAACAGAAAACAGAAAAAACAACACAAAAATAAATCTTGCTTCAGGCGTGGGAAGATTTTTTTATTCTTCAATTTTTTTTTCGATTTTTTTTTTTTTTTGTAAAATCTGGCTCGGATTTTTATGGCATATTACAAACACATACAAAAACACAAAACAAAAAACATTTGTTTTTAATTCTTAAAATATAGAATAAAAAGACTTCCTTTATCAGAAAAATAAAAGAGAAAATTAGATTTTAAAAAATTATTTAAAGATAAAAAAAAGGATAAATTTTCACTGACTTTTACGAGAGAGTAAAAATTTAGAAATAAAAATGATGTTTTCATGATTTTTATTTTCAATAATTTCATTAACATACAAATAACATGAATACATACACACAATATTTATATATATATATATGTACATATATATATGTAAAATAAAAAATAATATAGAATGACAATGAAATTATTTCATGATGATTTTGATAATGAAATTTAAATAATGAAATTTCAGTGTCTTTATTATAAAAAGAATATTATGAGAGAAAAAACAAAATATTAAAAAAGGGACCAAAACTAAACAGAAAATTTTTCAATATTTTACAAATTAAATTAACAGGTTCTTTTTATTTTTTTTTTTTATTCATATCCTAATTCAATGAGAACCTAGAATTTTATATCGAGTAGGTCACTTTATTTATTAAAAAAATATATATACTGTTACAACGAACTATTACAATAGATGACTTAGATTATCTTCATGACATTATTGGGACTATAAAAAATTGATTTGATAATGATTTTAAAGGATTGTTAGTTTCTTATAAATCTTACGGTATAAATAACAAAGATAAAATATGTGAGAAAATATTTAAATAAAAAAAAATGTGATTTCATTTCACCCTTTAATTGAAATTATTTTGAAACAAAAGATACAAGCGAGAAACTTTTATGAATTAATTTTATTCTTTATTATTGGGTCAATTATGTTTTTTGTATTATCTGTTATGAGGTCAATACGAGTGTTACTAAATTTTCTCAGATTAAGAAATCCAAAATATTATTTTTAAAAATATTTGAAAATTTTAAGAAATTAAAAATGTTTCGTTCTAATTTTGAAAAAAAATTAATGTTGATTGAAAAATTTTTCAATTTCGTTTCAAATGACAAGTCGGAATTAGAGAAAATAAATAAAAATATCTCGATATATAAGATTCAATATTAAGTTTTAAAAATTTATAGCTCTTGCATATCGTTTATAATTTAATTATCGTTGTAAGATATGCGATCGCTTTAGTATTAAACTTCACATTATGGTTATAATAACACCTTTAATTATTATTTTGATCCTTACTAAATTTTTTCCTTACTGGTAATTGCGATTTATAATTGTATTTTAACTCAAAAAACTCAAAAACTATTCCAATTATAGATTTAAAAGTCCAAACATACATTTGTGTATGTTTTATAAGTTCCCATATTTTTTCCCATATTTTGTAATTTAAATAGCTTTAAGGTATAGCTTCCGTAATCTTTATTAAACCCATACAATAATATGTAAACTATATTATTAAATAACACACAAATAAAACAAAAGGCAACTGCAGTCAACCATTTTTTTGTTTTTTTAGTAAACTTCATTCAAAACTAAATTTAAAATGTTTTTTTTTTTTGTAACGAAAATGTTTAAAATTCTACGTTAAAATCAAGTATAATATTTTATTATATAATTATAAAATAATGAAAACACATGATTTAAAAATCTAAGCATACAACATCATAAAAATTAATAGACTGAGAAAACATAGAAGCTCTAACCATGATGTTATTCTCTTTCAGGTCCGTATAATTAATTGCGAGATTTTTTTTATTTTGTCCTTTTTTCGTTTACGATCAAAGACGATTAGGTTCCACATATGTTTGGTTTAATATAGTCAAGCTATTGCATTTTAAGATTTTTTTTTTTTTTACTTCATATGGAGTCGCATAGGTATTGGACGCGCATTTGCTCACCAAAGTGAAAAAAGATAAAAAAAAGTGGAAATTAAAAAGTTTAATTTCTTTCGTTTTAAATTTTTTTTTATGCTTAACTTCTTGTTTTAGTGCGCCTTCTCTTAACGCATTTTAAAAAAAAATTCAGTCATATTTTTTTGTTGTTGTTTCAAAAACATATAATTTACAATAATTTCCTTCTTTTTATCCATTTTATATGCCCTCCAATTTCATATGTTTTGATTTTGGTTCTGATCTTAAAAAATTTGATTTCTCTAGCTCCATAATACAATTTTGTTGATCTTTTCTCGCTTTCATTTTTCTTTCATATTTCTAAATCTACTTCTTAAGTTAAAATTTTTTTTTCTTAATCTTGTACAATATTTAATCGAAAAGTAACAAAAAGGCAGCAAATTATACACTACAACTGAATTGATTATAAATTAACTTTTATACAAGAATATGGAAAAGAATACCAATAAAATGGGGAAAAAAAAACAACAAAAAGAAAAATCATAATTGATTCAAATCAATTTTGTTTCTTTCAAAATTATTCAATTTTCAAATAAACACCTTAACAATTACAATGAAATTTTACTTATCATACAATATTTTGTTCTGAGTGTTGGTAAATATATTATTGAAAAATTTGAGTTTCCAAAAACGCAAACAATTTCTTGTATACTTGAAATGTCAAACACAATAATAAAGGCATTTAATTATAACGTCAACTCATTTTGTATGAATTTTTCGTGTAAATCTTATCCATAGAACTTATTAATAAATAAGAAATACACAACGGACAAGTCTGGAAGAAAATTTAAAATTAAAGACTTGCTTTCAGTTCTCGCTCCCAAAAATTTCCCTTTTTATTAAGTATAGTAAGAATTTTTTTCATAAAACGCTCAAAATAAAAGAAAATTACTTTTGGATCAATAAAATCCATTTAATTATTAAGGTTTGCTTCAACTTTAGCTTTATTTTTTGTAAACAAAAGAAATTTAATAAATGATCCATTAAAAGGTAGATAAACTATTAGTTTTTTAAAAACAAAATGGATAAAATGAATGAATAGGAAATAGAAATGAATGAATCTAGTTTTTTTTTTGTATTCTAGAATGTTACAACGAATACTTAAAATAAATTAGAAAATTTGATTCTTAAAGTGCAAAAGAAATTTATTATTATCATCATCATCATCATCATCATTATTATTATCTTCATCATTATCAATGTTTATAATAACTTAAAAAGCGTTCAAGTCAAATGAAAAATCAATTGAATTAAAAAAAATTTTTTTGTTGAAACAGGAAATGAATTCAAGATGATATCTGATTGGTTATTATTATAGATTCAAAATTTGGAATATAAAAGTTTTATAATTAAAATTTATGAATTTTTTTAGGAAAAGATTAAGAAACCACTATAGATTAAAACGAAAAATCTTAAAATGACTTATGTAGGTGAAATAATCTAAGTAGAATAGTAATAAATATTCGTTAGTGCATTTATAAGAATATTAAAACAGAAAATCTTTAAATTCAATTTAAGTAAAAGATTTTGAATTCATTTGAAAAATAACTTCAAATCTTTCAAAATTTGATTAACTACAGACTATTTATATTCTTAATTTGAACTGTTCTGCTTAATATTTACAGACATATACATATATTTAAATAAAAATTAATATAAAATACTTACGTTTTTCACAATAATCACCATACCATCCCGATAAACATATTATTTCTCCAGTATCTGAGCATGTATAATGACCAAAACTATCGTCACGTGGTCGACATAAATTAGCGCAACCTGCTCCATAATAATGATTTTCACATAGCACCCGATAATCATATAATAATGTTGAATTTTTTATAACACTTGATTTTTCAGTCCAATTTGATGATACATTTAATACACCTTGTAGTGATAGTCTAGATATTAAAACGCCTGTAAAAATCAAATATAATTAAATTAGAATAAATTTTTTTAAAAGCAAAGATTTTTAATATAATTTGATAAGTTGAAATGGGACAATATAAAATTAAATACAATAACAAGTAACACAAGTGATTTTTGAAATTCTTTTGCAAATATTTAAAGCACAAAGATTATATCTGTGGGGAATTTAATTAATTAATAATCAAATTAAAGATTTTTTATAATTTTTATAAATTGTAATATTATTAATTTATTCTTTACAGAACTCAATTATCTTAGATTTTTGTTTTGATAATTTTCTTTCGTTTAAAGTTCAAAATTTTCGATTGTTTAACATTCGAATTCAATTAACATTTTGGTTTATTTAATAGACACCTGTTAATTTCTTTCATATTTCCTTCAATATACAAAAATAATAAAAAAAAAAAATTGCATACCCGAATTTAATGAAAACATTTTTAATCAAATAATTTTTAATGTTTCTCACATATTCATTTTTTACACTTTAATTATAATTAAAATTTATTAAATTTTATCTTTTCGATTTCCAAAAAACAAAATTTTTTTTTTTTTTGTTACAAACCTTAAAAAATGTCATTTCTTTACCGCCATTATCTTAATAAATTTATCATTTAAAAGAGGAAACCCTTTTGGTTCGAATTTTATTGTTTTTTTTTTTTATTTTTCTCCTGGGCTCTCTATACCTTTCTTTTCTCATTAAATTTTTTTTTTATACTCATGTTGTAATTAAGCGCCTTTAAAAGAAACAAAACTCCCAGTATTTATTTGTTGTTATGGTTTTCATTTCGAAATATGAAAAAAATATTTAATTTAAAATTATTATTGCTATATATATATACAATATACATAGCTTTTCTCATTTAAATTGCATTATATGAACTTCGTTAAAGACATTGACCAAAAAAAAAAAAATTACAAAACTTTAAGCAGCTGCTAATTAAGCAATATTTTAAAAAAAAATTAAAAAAAGAGTGGGGAAAACCATAATAACAATTTAGCAGAACGAAAAAGCTTCAAAAAATTTAATGTGAACTTAACACTCGAAACTGTTCAATGAATAAACCTACTGGCATCGTCTCCTATTCATATGCATTAGGTGAAATTATTATACATTACATACAAATTATACTTATAATACAAAACAATACAAGCGAAGTATAAGAATTTAATTTAACAGTGTGGAATAAAATTAAGGAAAAGCGAAGAGAGGAACTGAAACAGAGAGAGAAGAAGTAAGAGATAATAAAATTTATGTGAATATTTTATGCTATCAAAATGATAACCGAATCATACCGCAAAGATATATTGTATATATGTAAAAATTAAAATACAACATCACCTACATTTAGTATAAAGGGTAAACAAGTGTAAATATGTATATATAATGAATTTTTTACATACATGCAAATATGCACATATTTTATAATTATCCAATTTTTAGCAATATACTTTAATATCCTTTAACTTAATTTTATCACATCAAAAATAAAAACATATAGCAATTTAATTTATCTTTATACCATGACAACAGTAAATACATAATGCCCCGTACAACAGAATATACACATAGTGCATAATAGTGGTATGCAAGCATCATAATATGTATAATATCTTTTTAACATATTAACATGAAATTAAATTATATTAAAAGCAAAACAAACAGAAAATCAAAAAAGAAAAAAAATAACAGAAAAAAAAACCTAATTTAAGCCTGAAGATTAAGAAGCGTGTAAAAATATTATTTAAAAATATCAAAGCATTACAATAAAAATTTTTTGTTTTAACTACAAAAACCAAGTAAAAGAAACAAAAAATAAGGGTTGCCCATATCTAAAAAATATCTTAAGCTGAAATGTTTAAAAACCAAAAAATAATATCAAAAAACATCAGCCAAAATTTAATTATATAAGAAAAAAAAAAAAAGCTGCAACTACATTCTGTCCTAAAATTATTGGGACACTTTTTGGGTAAAAATTGTTAAGGAAAACAGGAAAATTACCAAATTTCTTACAAGATCAAACTTAGTCCTATAAAACGGAATAAGTAAGACATCTCCGCATAGTATGGAATAAACCCAACGAGCTCTTTTAATTTTTTTTCAAGCTCAAGCTTTATGGAAACCGTCGAATTTTAGTTGGCAATATTTATTTAACAGATCTAAAAACAAGTCTACTACTATTTCAATCAAATCAAATTTTCTAATTTATTTTAATAATTTCGCTTTTGAAAAAAAAAATTCTAATTAAGCAAAGGTAAAAAAATAAAAAGAGAATTATAAGAACCTTTAGGCTTTATGTATTTAAAAAGCGCATATCAATATTATTATCAACACTGACGATTTATTTAGCGCAGTGATAACTTCTCTCTTAAACAACTTTAGTATATGAAAAGAAAAAAAAGAAATAAAAACATAAAAATGGCAGCGACCCAAAAGATATTTTTATAAAATACGAAAAGATAAGCGCCTTCGTATTTCTTTTTTCATTTTTATTATTCAAAGGGTTTTTTAATTCTTTTAAAACAGACTAAAACTTATACAAGCCAAAAAAAAATAAATTAGAAGCATGTATTTTGAAAGCAAAAAAAACCCGATAAGTAGTACCAATCTTAAAGATTATTTAGTATCCAAAATGAAGGTATGTTTGTATATAAAATTGAAACCCTATATGAATATCATGAGGTGGGTATTAAGAAATTAAAAATTTTTTAATCAACTTATATTTTTACTTCAATGCACTTTTCATAAATTTAGACATATTTAGTAAACACTATACGTGTGTATGTTTGTGATCGTATTATGATTATAAAATAAGTATATTAATAAAAGATAAACATTTTTTATAACAGTAGATGAACACTATCATTAAAAAAAAATATTAACACTATTAAAAAAAAAATTTTTTTTTTAAATTTAGACCGAAATCTAAAATGAACAGGTAAAAAATTTTTCTGTTATATACGAGTATGTAAATGAGGGCTGACATGCAATATAAAAAATATGTGTATATATGCATAATGTATGCATATTGGATGTATCTATACCCAAAATAGAGAATGGAATTTAAATCCGCAAAATTTATTTTTATCAAAAAATTAGAATTTTTTATTCGAAAAATTTGAAATTTTATTAAATATTTCTAGTTCCATGCACACACATACATACTATAACCTTGAAATCTTGCATATTTAATTGAAATTGAATTTTAGATGAAAAAATTTCATAATTCTCTAGTTACAGTGGCTTTATTTTTGATATTCCTTATGATTTTGCTCTTATAAAATTAAATTCCTGATTAGCGCATAAGCAGTTGTAATAGTCTACTCATATCTCTGCACAAGAAAATGCATCATTACTAACTTACATAGTTCAAAGAAATAAAAATCCAATTACAAAAATTTTTAAATTAAAGCTTTCATTTTTAATATCTTAATTTTAAATATTCCAATTACAATTTATATTTCATAAAAACTATATTCATTAATTAATTAGAAAAGTTTATAATTTTTTGATTTAAAATGAGTACAATATAAGTACAGAATAACACCAAATTAATTAATTTTGGTTCATTCAGTAGAAATGAACGTGATCTCCTTTTACTTTGTTTTTTCTTTAACTGTGTATATACGTGATATACTAGTGTAGAAATATTCTTTAAATGAAACTCTGTAACGAGTACATCAGCAAAAATTGCAGTCAAATTTATTTTTCTTTCTCTTTTAACACCACAATTTAAAACTTAAAAAACGTGGTCAAATTTGTTTTTCAAAAAAAAGAAAAAATTTTTCTTTTTACTTAATTTTATTTTCAATTTTTTAAATAAAATATGATAAAGAAGAGTAAGATGATCATGAATCTTGTATGTTCAACTTGTTAACTAACGTTATTATGTGCTTCTTTTATTTTCTTTTTAAGTTATGGTATTAAAAGAAGTTCCAAGAAAACCGCAGCACGCAAAATTTTCAATGTTAAATTGCAAACAAAAATAAAAATTTAATTTATAACCTTACATATACACATATTATGTACTTAAAAAGCTGCTGTACTATCAAAAATAATTTTCGGTTTAAATGTGTTCCAAAAAAAAATGGATTACATGCTTACATATGACATCATGGTTATTTTAAAAGCATATAATGCATATTTTATTTATACATTCAAACTAACATAAAATTTGCAAAAGAGACAAAAGAAGTTGGCTTTTCTTAAAAATTATCTTTCACTTTAAGATAATCAAAATCATATGTTAAAAAATTAAAAAACTTGAATGTAAAAGTTCAAAATGCTTAAATAAGAGGAAAAAATTAAATGATCTGCAGGTGCATTACATGAATATAAAATAAAAGTTATGAAATGTAAAAAAAAAAATGTTAAGCTGCAAAAAATCTTGAATGAAAATAAAAATTAAAAACTAAAATAAAGTGAACTTGCTTGAAAATATTATGTAATCCCTTAATACTTATTATTTTCCCGTAAATTTTATTAAACAAAGTCATACAATAAGAAACTTTTAATAGTTTAAGGTTAAAATTCAAGTAAATACTCTTAATTATTTTGATAAATAATAGATTTTAATCGAAAATTCAATAAAAAATTTGTGAATCAAATAAAATTTTACAAAATTTTTAGCTTAACCTTATATTTTATAAATTTAAGATGCCTTCAAAGAATATTATATTTGCATTTAAAATAAATTCAATACCATATTTGCTATGGTTTAAATAAATGGTCGAATAACATTATTATTAATTATAATTACTAACATTAATTTAAAAAAAAAAAATGGACAAACAATAAATGAAATATAGATCAAATTTCAAAACGTTAATTATCGTTCATTAAACGAAACAAACATAATATAAGCAAACAGAAAACATTGTATAAAATCCAAGTTTAGTAATCCAAAAATTCGTGATTATCATTATGTTCTAGCACTAACATAAACACGGGAATTTTTTTTTTTGTACATTTTACAATATTTATTGAATTC